ACTGGTGCCCTATAACCACACTGTCTTTCTGGGTCACCTAGGTCAGGGTTGGGCAGCCTTTGGCACATGGTGTTGGGGCCTCGTTGGCATTTGGCAGTGGGGTCTTTACCCATATTGTGCAACACAACACTGTGCTACAACCTGGCAGCAGGGAGCTTTCCCATGCTGTAACAAAGCCAGGAGGCAAGGAGAAGTGACAATGGCTTGACTATGGCAGCAGCCAGGTTTTAGCACTGGCCTTGATAGGACCCAGCTGGGTCATTCTGGCTTTTCACTGCCAAACCGTGCTAAGTGCTGACTTAGGCTCATGCAGATCTTTGGGGGTGTTGTTTTTGTTTGTTGTATTTAAATGATCTTTTTCGTGGTTTGTGGTTTCCCCTTTCTAGTTTTAAGTGTTCTCAACTGACTGGAGTGACTTATGGATGTGGCTAACTATACTGTTTCCTCTTTCTTCAACCTCATATTTCTGTGTTTCATCAACATCCTAGCATTACAGATTTATCAAACATTACATACTGCTGATTGAGATGGCATTTTTAAAAACAAATTAAAACTACTTCAAAGAATCAGCATCATTTGGGCTGAAAGTTCCTAGACTTGTTCTTAAGCCAAAAGTGAATTTACAGGGCACTGCTTATTAAAATTACATTAGTCTGATTTAGAGATACCCAAACATGAAGAAGTAGGGTTTTTTTATTAAGAATTTTTATTACATTCTTTGCATTGTAATAACACAACTAGGTATCTTGTAGAACTTCAGACTTACTTTAGCCCTCGAGACCCAGAACTTTTGACATATTTGAAGGAATTCTGTTTACAAATAAGCAAGCGCAGATTGTACATGCTCTCATCTGGGAGCAGAAGAGGAAGGGATTTTCCATCCACATTCAGAAACTGAGAAATAGCATGGCAGAATGTAGTTCCCTTATATAGATGGGTTCAAGAATGGTCCCACTCTGTGAACCATTAGAGAGCAGCAAATACCATCGTTCCTTGCTTCTTGGTACAGTATAGCTAAACCCTCATCCAGTCACAAAGAGAGACCATCACATAGGGAGCAAAATACTGCACAGATAAAGGTAGATAGCAGTGGGTGCTTCCCCTGCAGTGATACAGCTTTGTCTCATCTTCAGTGCATAGCTCTCTTTACAAATGTCTTTTTTGGTAAGCCAAATATCAAGCTATCACTTTCTAGCAATAACCGCTAATTTCAAGTCATTAGACAAGACAGTACATTCATTTTTCTGTCCATGTGTTGCACTCATATTTGCCAGACTTTGTTCTTGAATCTCTCCTTAAAATCTTGAATGCTGCCAATATCAATTTTATTGCACTTTTTTCCCTAATACATGCCACCATTAGATTTTTTTTTCACTTATCTTTTATTGGTCTTAATTGTCAGCGATTCTCAACCAATGAACTGAGAGTGCTGAGAGATCCTTTTGAAGGTGCTGCAGGGTGCTGTGCAATACGAGCACTATTAGAGGTGAAAACACCTACATATGACTTGCAGGATAAACCCAGAGAATTCAAATAGGAATCCATAGCATTGAAGCCTTTCTGAGTTCTTTGAAACAGGACTTGCTGTATTTTTTTTTTGAGTACAGAAAAGAGTGAAAGCCAAGTGGCATTTTCCAAGTAGTTCTGGAAGTATAATCTAAAAAACTTGATAATCACAGGTCTAATGCAGGACTGTTCAACTTCCAAGTGGCTGAGGGCCAAACAGCTCATAGGTGACTGGTAGGGGAGGCACATGGGGCATGTGTCCCCCCTGACAGGGTTATCCCCACTGCTGACACTGTGGGCGGCTTCCTCCCGCGCCCATCAGCCCCATCCCTGCCGGCTTTCGCCAGCCCTGTCCCTGCTGCTTCTGTGGGTGCCACCTGAGACCCAGGAGGCATCAGTCACCCATGTACCAGCTTGTGGGCCCCAGCATGGGAGACTGCACAGGTGTGCCAGGGTAAGCCACAGGCCCCTCAGCTCACCTGCCTGGGATACTTTAGAGGCTGTGTCCCTTACAGTGCCCATTTCACGAGACCAGTGCAGCTCAACTGGCAGGCCAGATGGGTAGTGCACAGGTCTGTTGGATCCCACTGAATCTGGCTGCTGGTCCCGAGCTGGCACCTGGGGCAGGGCCGCATCCTGCTGCATGGAGGCCGCACCCGGCCCTGATCCCGCTGTGCAAGAGTCCGGGCCCTGCCAGCCGGCCCGGCCTCATCCCAGCCACACAGGGAAGGGGGCACGACCCCGCAGGCCTCGGCGACCTAGCGGCGGTGCTGGCTGCCGCCTCTGCCCCAATCCCCGCCTGCGGGGCGCGCTGGCCGTCAAACAAGACCCCCTCCCCGGGCGGACGCCCCCTAGCCTTTCCAGCGGCAGTACAGGACAGGCCAGGACAGCGCACAGCCCCTCGGCCGGAGGCGGGGGGTGAGGCTGAGGCTGCTCGTGTGGTGCCACGTCACAGGCCGCGGAAAGGGGAGGGGCGGAGCGACCAACCAGGCCTGACGCAGGCGATGGGGGCGGGGCCGGTTCCTTCCTGCCACCGGAGGGGGCGGTGCCAGGCGCCAGGAGGGGGCGGGGCGAGCTGCCGCAGCGCCGCCGCTTGTAAACACATCCTGCACCACGTGACCGCGCCGAGTACCTGAGCGGAGCCGGCATTGTCTGCGCGGCCGGCGGCGGTGGGGGGGAGGGTTTCCCGTAGCGGCGGGAGGCGGAGACTGTCGTCCCGCGCCGGCCGGCCGGGCCAGGCCGGGCCCCCGAAGATGGCCGGCGGGG